CACAGAGAGGCCATGGCAAGGCTGCTCACCCGGGTGGGAGAGGAGCAGATTAAGCCTCGTTAAGGGAATGATTTGATCTATTTAGGAAATGTTCCCGGTGGCAGGTGACAGCGGTGTGACGGGGATGCGATGAGGCTGAGTGGGGAAGGCCATTACCACCGCAGGGGGATGCAGGAGGGACATGGCGATGCCCAAACCATGGCAGAAGTGACCCACCGGCCTGGCATCGCCCGCTGCACCCACACAACCACCATCCTGCCCTCGGCACAAAGCACCAGCTCCCCGTGCCCTGCGCAGCTGGGGATGTGCTGAGCATGGAAAGCAGCGTTTGCTCCCGGTGCGGGCAGGGCGAGGGCAGCGCAGCCACCAGCTTCTGCTCTCCAGGCAGCAGCCAACAGCTCCCGCAGCCAACGACTTCCCTCCCGCTTCCTCCGCCGCAGTCAGCGGTGAAACGACCGGTGGCTGATGTCCTGGCGTGACAGGTCATGGGAACTCCACATCGAACGTATTCGGGTGTGTGTGGTGACACCGGCCAGGTCCCTAATATAGCTCCAGTACCCAGGGCAGCCTGCGGCTCCAGCAGGATTTATATTTCTTGGCTTGCACCAAGGAGGTTGGGATGGGAAAAGCACCTCGTGTTTCCCTGAGGTTCAGCAAGGGCGAGCTGCCCCCATCCCACCCCAGCTGAGGGTACCAGCCTGCCTCCTCCAACCAGCTTCAGACTTCAGAAGCAGGAGATTTTGCAATCCCAGTAACCCGGAGCACAACCAGAGTTAACTCTTCACAGAGGGGAGATGGCAGCAGATGCACAACCCGCTGGAAACCCCCGGCAGCCCACAGCTGCTCTGGGTTCAGCTTTCCATCTCTTATCTCCCATTCCCCTTCCAAGGGAGGGCACCTTGCAGATGAACTCCTCATGATTTGAGACGGGGAGCATTGCAATACTTGCTGGGCTCTCGCTGCAGCAGAGGGCTCCAGCACCACGGTGGCAGCTGCGCCCAGTGGCCCGGGCACCACAGCGGGCAGTAACCGGATCCCCGAGTTACACAAGTGTCCCTGGGACAGGGGGCAAGGGCAGCGCTGCAGCGGGGGCTCAGCAAAACCAGTTTCGTGCACAGAGGAGCTGCGTGCGCTCCCCTTTACAGGGGTTGGGTGCTTCAGCTGTCAGCTTTGCATCCCGTGTCGGACAGCATCTCCACATCGAGTGTCCCTTTGACACCACGTGGGACAGGGGACAGCCGGGAGAGCTGTGCCCACCCTGAGCCCTGCGATGTCCCACCTCTGCTTCCCACTGGGGCACCTGCCTGCAGGGAAGGAGGGAGAGCAGGGAAAGGACCGCTCCGTCCTCATCGCAATTAGGGAAAAAAATTCAGCTTTCACCCGCGTTTCAGCTCTCCTCACAGCAGCTCAACACCTCCGAGATTCGGGCAGACGGCGTTCGCTGCCATCCCGTGCCTTGGCTCAGCCCAGCTCCCCCAGCAGCCTCGACATGCTGTGGGAGAAATTAGTGATGTGCAAAGCTAAACACACTCATTAGCTTCACTAACCCCCTCAAAGCAAGGGCTCCAAAACCAGTAGCAGATGGCGCAGCCCAGCCCTGCATGCTTGGCACCCCCCTGGCAGCAAAGGCCCCTCCTGGGCTCCTGCAGCAGCTCTGGGTTTTCACCACCTTTGAAAGACAAACCCTGGAAGCAGCTCCTGGAAACAAAACAGCTCATCGGGGTGCCTGCAGGGGAATGGCCCCCACCCAGCAAACCCAAACCCAGGCATGCCGCCTCCGCGGTGTGGAAACGGGGCTGCAAACCGAGCAGGCTCTGGCCAGCCCTGCTGCTCCCTCCTCAAAAACGAGCTTCAGCCCAAACCAAAGGGCTGGGGGCTCTGTCCCGTTCGCTCCGCAGCGTGTCGAGCTGAATTTCCCCATCATCTCATGCCAAGCGCAGCGAAGGCGAGTGGGCACGAGGAAGGAAGGAAGACAAGGAAAACAAGGGGGCTGGAGCTGCTCATGTTCCCGTGCCCGCGTGTCCTCAGGCACCACTGATTCAGCATCACCGCCTCCTCCCGGGACACTGTGCCATGAATCACAGCAGATCAATCCAGCAAGCTCCCTACGCCATGGGTCCCGCTGCAGCCCCTCGGTTCCCAGCGGAGCAGCACGTGCTGCATGCCCTGCCCGTGCAGCAACCCTGCCTGCAACACCTCCTGAAACAGGACCCGCAGGACTGTGCCCATGCCACCCCGAGGAGCTCCCATCAGGGCCTGTCTGCACCACAGGGGTTAAAATAAATTGTTCTTAAGTTGCAATAAAAATAATAAACCTACAATAAAGAAAGGCAGGTTGTCACCTTCCCAAGTTATCAGCAGGGAAGCAGAGCAGAGGTTTCCCTGCCTGGACTGCACACATGGGCTCCGGGTTCCCTGGACTGGGCTGGCATGGGGCAAGGAGCACTTTTTCCTAATAAAGCAAAAAAGTTTCTCTTCAAAGGATTTGCCTCTTCTAACCTTTCCATGCGAACAGGTTGCCAACTGGCATCTCAGCTGCTTAACCCATTTGTAGAGCCGGTGCTGGATGCTTTGCAACACACTGTTCCCACCTCGCAGTGCCAGGAAGGCAAACCCCCCTCGCCCCCGCGCTGCCAGTCCCCAGTGCCCACCCCACGAGGCACAACCTGCATTAAGCTGATCATCTCGAGTGTTTTTTTTCTGCCTTTAACGCCAGCATGTTTGGGGAGCCCACAGGTAATCAGCCAACAGTCCCGAAGCTGCTCCAGCCTCTGCCGGAGTCGGTTCGCAGGGAACACGCAGCAGAGGGGCACGGAAGCAGCAAAGCTTCCTTCCGCTTCTACTGCTCCTCAACTATGGAAGAGAAACAAAACCACGAGTCTCAAAGCCCACGAGA